GTTTTGATATATTTACGGTAGGAAATTTACTAAATATCTTCATGGAACATGATCTTTACTTAATATCCTAATGATTTTTGGCTATAAATCGCTAATTTTGACCCATACAATGTATTGTTGGCTATTGCTACAAATATACCCCAGCGACTTAACACTGCTTTTGTGCTCCAGGGTCACATATTTGTATTTAAATGACATTTAATGATCTTAATTGCAATTAATTAATATTCCCCCGGGTTCACAGACCAGGCTTAACTCTAGTCTCAGACTAAACTGCATGTCTGGGCTGTTTTACCTGTAAGAAACTTGCACTAACTGATCTTAAAATATGTCAGTGCCATTGTTTTGTCTCAAGATGCACACCAGTAATGTTATTTTCTAAGGCACGTTTATAAAAGACACTTAAATGTCCTAATTGAACTATGACCTACACCTGGCTTAACCTAAACCCTGACTGTGAAACCAGGCCATTGAATTGGTTTTGATTTGTACATTAAATGCTTTTTCTGTGTAGATTGTCTGATGTTGTTAAAAATAAAATGCAGAGGAAAGTTATTAACTCGAGCAATCTAATGAAATATGTCACAAATTACTTTTTAAAGCATGTACTTTGTAATCTGTAGTGAAATACATTTTAAAAGTAATCTTCCAAACCCATATAAGACAAAAAGGATTTATATTTTTTATTCATTTTATTTTTTTTAGTTTTTCTTTTTTTCATTTTTTATTTTATTTATTTATTTTATTTTGCACACATATATATATATTGCAATTTGTTTATTTTTTGTCTTTATTTTTATTTCATTTTTATTTTATTTTATTTGTGGTCTTTATTTTTTTTTATTCCTAGTTTATATTAATTTATAGTTTTTTAATATCTTTTTTTATTTTATTTAGTTTAGTTTATTGTATAACTGTGTAAAAGGCACTTTTATTTGACTTTCTTTCTGGTACAGCTATGTCTGTCAGCCTGCTGATTTCACAGTATGTCATCATAACTATATTTTCGACCCAGTTCAATCGTCACGCAAATGTAAGATGACAATCTGGGCATGATTACAATAACATCACTGTATACAAAACTACATCGGTTGGATAACAAAGAACATCTAGACTGTGAGGACATCTTTGGCTTTATTTTAGGACTTTTACGTGGAAGCGATATTCCTCTCAGGACCGCATGGTCACGACCTAACCGGCCTCCCCAACAAAGCCTCTTTGTGTTGCCTCACACACAGGCATGCCATGAACCGTCCCACCACAGAACACACACACTCTCACACTCACACACACTCTCACACTCGCACACTCGCTCACTCACACGCTCACTCGCTCTCTCGCTCACTCGCACACTCACTCGCACACTCACACACTCGCTCACTCACTCGCTCGCTCACTCTCACTCGCTCACTCGCACACTCACTCGCTCTCTCGCTCTCTCATTCTCTCACGCACTCTCTCACACACTCACTCACTCACGCACTCACTCACGCCCTCACTCACGCACTCACGCACGCTCTCACGCACGCTCTCACGCACTCTCTCACGCACTCGCACTCGCACTCTCTCACTCACTCACTCACTCTCACTCACTCACTCACTCACTCACTCACTCACTCACTCACTCACTCACTCACTCACTCACTCACTCACTCACTCACTCACTCACTCACTCACTCACTCACTCACTCACTCACTCACTCACTCACTCACTCACTCACTCACTCACTCACTCACTCACTCACTCACTCACTCACTCACTCACTCACTCACTCACTCACTCACTCACTCACTCACTCACTCACTCACTCACTCACTCACTCACTCACTCACTCACTCACTCACTCACTCACTCACTCACTCACACACTCACACACTCACACGCATGTGCAGACACACACAAAAATCATCAACCACCTGTGACATTTACCATTTTTATTTAATTTTTATTATATTTAATTTTTTATTTTATTTATTTTGGGGTTTTATTTTTTTATTTTAGTATTTTATTTACTCATTTATTTTTTTGTAACTTATTTTATTTTGAGTTTTTATTTATTTTTATTGATATATTTTATTTTAGTATCTTATTTTATTATATGTTCATTTTAGTTTGTATGTAGTTATTTATACATTCATTTATTCTGTACGTCAGACTTTGAAAGCATTTTAAATTATGAGAATTTACTGATCTAATCTGAATAAATAATTTTATGCGCAGTGGATTTACCAAACCTAAAATAAAATGAATAAAATGTTAAAACCACACTTAATATGATTAAATAGCTATAAAACAATAAATAATTAATGTATTGCAGGTGCAACTTTTATTATAGCACTATTCATATGTGACCCTGGAGCACAAAACCAGTCATACGGGTCAACTTTTTAAAATAATCTTTCCATTGATGTATGGTTTGTTAGGATCGGACAATATTTGGCCGAGATACAACTATTTGAAAATCTGGAATCTGAGGGTGCAAACAAATCTAAATATTGAGAAAATCATCTTTAAAGTTGTCCAAATGAAGTTCTTAGCAATGCATATTACTAATCAAAAATTAAGTTTTAATATATTTACAGTAGGAAACTTACAAAATATCTTCATGGAACATGATCTTTACTTAATATCCTAATGATTTTTGGCATAAAAGAAAAATCTATAATTTTGACCCATACAATGTATTGTTGGCTGTTGCTACAAATATACCCCAGTGACTTAAGACTGCTTTTGTGCTGCAGGGACACATATGTATAAAGAACAGTATGCAAACACTGAGCTATATTAACATCTTACAGTACAAACATCCTTTTATGACCGTAATTTTAGTTAGAATTTATATACAATACTAAACTATGTAAGAAATATTGTGTAAATGTTTACATTTTCATCATGCGCTCACCCAAATCCTCATGTTTAGTGAATGGAGTTTCGCTTAGCCCAACACCTTCAAGATCAACATTCGTAACGAAATAATAATCCCAAATCAATCAGTCAGGTGTAAAAGCCCTCATTGTTTAAAATCCTACATTATGAATTAAACACACTCTTGATAACAGTGACCAACTTTGGTGCATTTTCCGCATCCATAACATACTCACCACATGTATAACTCCATGCACACGTGTGTGACTGACCTGTGGTGTCGATGACGTATCCGCCGGCCTCTCTGATGATGACGGCGGCCGCTGCAATGTCCCAGCAGTGCAGACCGTACTGATAATAGGCCTCCGCTGCGCCGCTGGCGATGTGACAGAGCGCTAGCGTCGAGCTGCCGATGATCCTCACACTGCGGGTCAAAGGTGAAATCCTGACCTTTACATACAGTAACACACTGACGATACGAGCCACATCGCTAGCTCCTTATATTACAGCATACACATTTACGGTGCACACAAGTGGATGAGACGAGTGCTTTTCAGACGTACCCATGAGTAGGTGCGCTCAACAATTTCTTCATATTTCCTAAAAAGATATCCAGTGTTGCAGGGTCTCTCTTCGCGCCGATCTCTGTGAGAATGAGGGCCTTCGACACATCTGACATAGAAAACACGTCACATTTAATTATTAAGGAATGAATGTTCGCACTAGACCAGTCTGACATTTTTTTTTTGTATGGTGTGGACTTTAAATATTAAAGATAAAACAGGTAAATCAACAGATTAAATCCATAAAGATATTATTTAAATACACTACCACTCAATTGTTTAAGGGTTTGATACTTTTATTCAGCGAGGACACATTAGATTGTTTAAAAGTGACTAAAAGCATTTACAATGTTTCTGTTTCAAATAAATGCTGTTCTATTGAACATTCCATTCATCTGAGAATCCTGAAAAATAAAATGCGTTTCCACAAAAAATATTGTGCAGCACGACTGTTTTCAACATTGATAATAATCAGAAATGTTTGTTGAGCAGCAAATCAGCATATTAGAATGATTTCTGAAGATCATGTGACACTGAAGACTGGAGTAATGATGCTGAAAATACAGCTGCGCATCACAGAAATACATTACAGTTTAACAGAGATTCACATAGAAAACAGCTGTTTTAAATTACAATAATATTTCACAATTTTACTGTATTTTTAATCAAATAAATGCAGCCTTGGTGAGCAGAAGGTACTTTTTTCAAAAACATTAAAAAAAATCTACCTTTTGAACGGTAGTGTACTGACCAATCAGCATACAGGACTGTAACTATTCATTTGTAACTTTAAACAGTTTTAGTATGCCATTATAAATCATAAATGTGATTACTATTAATTGCAAAATAAGAGATTAAAACACGCAGTAAAACACGCTGACCTTTTTCTTTCGAAACCTGTAGTCGCACACCGTTGCAAAAGGCTCCGTGTCCTTTCCTGGCCGTATACAGCGTCCCGTCAAAACAGTGGTAGATGACGCCGAGCTCCAGCTGAGGGGCAGAAATCTTGTGATTATTGAACACAAACACATGACATCAGTGAAAGCACCCGTAATTCTGGCCTTGCACAGCTTTATCAGTGTTTACCTCTTTCCTTACAGCAAATCCGATGCTCACTGCCACCATAGGGAAACTGAAAATAAAGGAGTGTGTGTTGGGAACTCAAGAATATATTTCTATGATGATTTAAACACAACATATGGTGGCTATGGTACCTGTGCACAAAGTTACACGTCCCGTCGATGGGATCGATTATCCACGTAGGGTCGTCTGTCAGTTCACACTTCACACCAGCAGCAGATGATTCCTCACCGATAAACCTGAGATTATAATCAACATCACATCAACATCTGACACAGAGAACATCTCAATCATACGAGCAGTTATTACAGAAAAAAGATGAATCATTAAACACTTTACATTAACTCTGTAGTGCCCTTTTATGGAAAGGAAAGCTAAAAATCTTCTTTAGGAAAGTAGGTTGATAGGGATGATTTTATGAAATGAATCTTTGTAAAACACTTCTGAGGCGGTACAGCGATGCTATTAGATCTTAATACTGAATTATTATCATATTCATATAACCATGATGTTTACATGGTACTTTAAAATACCACAGTAGACATCAGTGTTACCATGGTATTACTTATTGTATTCATTAATATTTTGAATAAGCTTGCACTTTTATATTTTCAGATCTCATTTAAGATTAAGTTTTAATCATTTTGTTTTGTACTTTAGTCATTTTTTATTAATAATTTAATTATTTTTAAATATGTTATTTAAATCATTTATTTTTATTTCAGTAAAAAAAGTTAACAAAATGAGAAATGTTGCCTTAAATAAAAGTTTAAGGTTTCCTCTAATATTTCTATTTCAGCTTTATTTCAATTACAGATTTTTTTTAATAGTTACTAATTTTGAATAGTTATAGTTTTAGTTGCCAACACCGCTAGACATGGTACATTTCTGGAAAATGAGAGAATGACCACGAAACATGTCCAAAAACACAAGTACTTGTTTGTTAGTGAAGAACATGTTTAGATCTGCTGTAGGTCACATGAGGACACAGTGAGTCGGATGGAGTGAGACTTGTTTCTAAACATATGAGCAGTGATCTTGTCTGTAAGTCTCCTCAAGTGTATTTGTGCGTGCGAGGGGCATTTGTGTGTGTGTGAGGGGTATTTGTGTTCGAGGGGTATTTGTGTGTGTGTGAGAGATATTTGTGTGTGTGTGTGTGTGAAGGGTATTTGTGTGTGTGTGAGGAGTATTTGTGTTTAAGGGGTTTTTGTGTCTGTGTGTGAGGGTTATTTGTGTGTGTGTGAGGGGTATTTGTGCGTGTATGAGGGATATTTGTGCGTGTGTGAGGGGTATTTGTGCGTGTGTGAAGGGTATTTGTGCATGTGTGAGAGGTATTTGTGCGTGTGTGAGGGGTATTTGAGTGTGTGTGAGGGGTATTTGTGCTTGAGAGGTCTTTGTGTGTGTGTGAGGGGTATTTGTGTGTGTGTTAGGGGTATTTGTGTGTGTGAAAGGGGTATTTGTGCATGTG